TTTTTTTTTAATTTTCCATAGTTAAAATACACCAGGGGACAGACACAAAAAAATATATGATAATTTCGTAAAATATTTATAAACAAACATACAAATATACACAAAGAACCACCAAACAGAAATGCATTAAAAGCTTCACAGTTGCTATCTTTACATTGTGGATTAATGGATAATTTAAAAATGTTTTCCCCTCATATTTCTGCATTTTCTGAATTTTCCATCATGGTTCTATAAGAATAAAACATATTAGTAATAAGTGAAACAGAAGAGTTGACAATGTTTGAAAAAACTCAGAAAAGTCAAAGCCCATTAGCCTTGCTTTTCAGGTCCTCCAGAATGAAGTGCTAACTACCCGGGGTCTGATTCCTGCTAGTTCCTATGGCTTAAGGAGAACATATCCAAAAGATTAGGAACTCGCGTTCTGGACTCAGACTGCTTTCATCCCAACCCCAGCTCAGCCTCTTTACTAGGTGGGGACTATGGGCAAATCATTTATGCTCCGTGGGTCTCAATCTCATTTTATAGAATAGAAAAAGAAAGCAGAATTTCTTCACAGAGCTATGGTGTGGCACCATGTATTTATTTGTATAAAACCGTCATTGGTGAGGTTGGCAATTAAGGATTCATTATTATTAATGCTCATGCCTGATTACACATCCTATACACTATCCGACTAATGTGAACACTGCTATAAAAGAAAAATGCCAAATCCTACTCACGTGGAACCTTGCTGTCAGTAGCCAAGGTGTCACTCCTTCCACCTCTGTGCAGCCCTTTGTGAGAAGTCAGGCTGGGGAAAGAAAAGAATGTTATGAAATGCCATGATTGTGTTGCCCTTCTCAATAAAAGTTAAAACCTCCCCTCCCCTCCGTGCAATCTGGAAGCAACCCTTGTCAACAACTAGAGCCCAAGACCTGATGTTTACTGCCCACCTGCTTATACTCATTAACCTTTGTCTTAACATTTTTCCTTAAGCTCTTCTTTCTAGTTTACCTTGGGAGAGGGAGAAGCAGGCTTCCCGTGGAGCAGGGAGCCCGATGCTGGGCTTGATCCCAGGACCCTGGTATCAAATGACCCCTCTAGCTTACCTCTTAACTCAGGCAAGTGAAACCCAAAACCACGCCTTGGGTGATGACAACTGCCAAGATCTGCCCCAGGCCCAGACCACCCAGACCTTTGGAACCCGACTCATGCTTGCACAGAAGAACCATGGAGTGACTTCTGGAATGACCTATTTCCTTTGCTTTATTATAATACTAAAATCTCTGCCCAAGGTGGGGGGAGGAAGGGAGGGCTCAGCCTCATTTACATAACATACAATGTATGTATAGCCATGTTTCCTTAAGCCGCATGCTCAACCTTATGCCCGCCTCTACATAGAATGACAAGACTTCCCTATCTAAAACTCCTTCCTAACTCTAAACAAAAGGAACCCATTCACCCTCTTTTGGGGGGGTCACTGCTTTGGAAGCCATTCCCTGTGATCTCTTTATTTGCTGGAAATAAGGTTCCTTTGTGCAACGATTCAACCTGGTAGTTTCTGACCTCCCAAGGAGGGAACTCACGTTGGTTCTGTTACACCCTCGCCTTCCTAAAAGAGATTATAAGGGGTCTGGTATTGCCCACCATCGTGCAGGAATGAGAGAAGAGAGAAGGTTCTGCCGTGGGATGGATATCTGACCCTAACCCAGGGACCTGACTGCTTCTCAGAAAATTAATACTAAGAAAGGTCACCATTCACCGTGTGCCAGAACCCGTTTTGAGATTTTTATTTGTATCACTATAACTGACACGCACCTGGCTCTGGGATTCCCAAACAGACCACACTCGGCCTCTTGCCCCTGACAAAATCCACAGGCAGAGAAACGAGTGGTGGTGAAATAAGAAAGGAAATTTATTTCAGTGCGGCCAACACCATAAAGACTACAGACAAACAGCTCAAAGACTGTCTTCAGGGTACTGAAAATACTTCCAGGTTTATACAAGGAAAATGTGGGGCAATGGCAGGTGCGCAGTGAAGGGCAAATGATCACTGTCTCAATCACGGGTGGGGCCCTGCTGGCTAAGAGCAGTCCTTATTGCATGAGGGGGTAGTTTGGGTTCCCACCAGCGGATGCTTTGCCCTCGGGGGTCTTCCACCCGAGCCAAGAGACAAGCTGGAAAGAAGCCAACGAGAAAGTTTGAGGTCAAAATGGAGGCAGCTTTCACCATCTCTTTCAATTCCCCAACACCAGGAAGCAGAAGCACCCGTGGGTGTAGGGAGGCAGACACTGGGCGAGCTGAGACACGCAGAAACTCTCAAACCAGGCCATAGGTGACTCCACCCCACCCCACCCCAGGACTCGCAAACCACCCTGAACGCAGAGACTCCCCCTGAGATGCACACCACTGCCCTCCAGCTCCTTACCTGCGTACCCTACCCAGGCTTCTTTCCCCCTAAATCGCCCGGTCGCTGCAGGTTCCAAGCACCGACCCAGGAAGTTTGAAGCGCCGGGAGAGGCGGAACTGACGCACCTCTCCCAAAGAAAATTCAGGAGCAACCTCACACTCCCCCAACGGAAGTGCCCGCGAGACCGCGGGGCTCCTGGACTACACTTCCCAGAAAGCACCAGAACCGCCTTCCTGAGCGGAAGTGCACCCTACCACACAGAGCGTCTGGACTGCACCTCCCAGAATGCACCAGACTTACCTTCCTGAGCGGAAGTGCACGCCACCACACAGAGCGTCTGGACTGCACCTCCCAGAATGCATCAGCTCTACCTTCCGGAGCGGAAGTGCTCGCCACCACACAGAGCGTCTGGACTACACCTCCCAGAAGGCTGAAGGCAGAACATACTTGGTCTCACTCTCCAAAACAAGTGTTGCGGCTACTCGGAGCTCCTTGTCTATACTTCCCCAAATGCCAGAATGGAAGGAATCACATAGTCCCGACTTCTTGGGTGGTCATACAGGTTTCTACATTAAGAGTCTGCGTTACCTCTGCCTGAGTCCTCAGCGAAATTATTCCATGGATACAACTTCCTGAATTCGAAATGCCTCCCAATTGTGACAGGAGTATTGTTGGAAAGGCAACGGGTGAGGAGATAAAATCTTCAGGAAATTAACGGGAAATGATCGCTTAGGCGACACTAGATGATTGAAAGGAGGATGATGTTTAGTCATAATCTGACGATATGAGGCCAAAACAGAGTTTAAAGAATGGGTGGTGTAGAACGATTTGGGAGGGGCGGTGAGGAGCGAGGAAGTTACCCGTCCCTACTACAGACCCTGATGGACCACAAGTTTAGTAGGAAAAACAACTTAAAAGGGCCAAAGTGGAAGCTTGTCCTCATGGAAAATCGCTCTTCCCTCACTTAAACTTTTCATTAAAATTATCCCTGCTTCGGAGGTGAAAACGTCAAGTTTCAGTGAAGTTACAAAATTGTCCACTATCTCAAAGCAAGCAAGACTGCTGGAGAGCTTGACATCGGAGTTAATCTGATTCCCAAAGCCTATGATTTAATGCCAAAGCACTGAGGAGGATTCTGTAGGTGAGGGAGCATGTTCTAGTATTAAGAGTTTTTTCCCTTATATTTTCTGGTTAAAATTCTTTATTATAATTATTAAACAGGTATGTTACTGAAAACTAAAAATAGTATGAAGTAAATAAGAAAAAAATGCGCCTAGAATCTTTCCCCCTGAAGATAAAAAATGTCCCAAATAAAAGTTTGTCTCTACATAAACTTACATATACCTATCAACATACATATTTGATTTTTAAAAATGAAGTCTCATGTTCTCTATCCATTTTTCTAAACTCGGTATAAGCTGAACATTTTCTTGTATCAGTCACTGAAAATCTAACTCTTCCCACATGATGGCTGTATGATGTTGCATTGAGTGAATTGAGAATGAAAAACAGCCCCTGACATCTGGTGAAACAATATTACATACTGGACATTGATTTAGAGCATTTACAGCATCTGGGAGGACGGTGTGCAGCCCCGCAGGTTACTGCCACCTAATTAGCCGTATAACTGAGGCTTCAAGTGTCATTTCGCCATACCATGAAGCCAATTACTGCAGGAAGATAGGGAAAATAGAAAGTGGCAGAGCAGCTTACATGGCTGCCGAGACCTATTGCAGAAGCTTCTCTTGTTCTGGGCCCAGTCAAAAAGTTTTCAGGGCATTCATAAAAGGCAAAGTGGTACACCCTGATTAGGACTATATTACCTCTAAAATCCAAAGAGGCTCACTAGATATTGTAACTCATTTTTGTGGGAAGATACAACACATTCTTTTTTTTTTTTTTAAGACTTTATTTATTTATTTGACAGAGAGAGAGAGAAGTAGAGGGAGAGAGAGAAGCAGACTCCCCGCTGAGCAGGGATCCCGATGCGGGGCTCAATCCCAGGACCCCGAGATCATGACCTGAGCAGAAGGCAGACGCTCAACCGACTGAGCCACCCAGGCATCCCAACACATTCTTCACCTAGAAGGACAGCTCAACATACAACACTGAAAGCCTGGAAATTTTACTTGAGGTGCAAGACCCCTGAATGTTTCTGGGATTTATTCCCACCTTCTGATATGCAAGTCAATACATGTAAGGTAGTTCCTACCTTTTGCTCACCAGATCCAATCAGCAAAATATCATCAGTGTGCCAATTGAGAGCAGCAAGGATTCAGTCACTGCAAAAAAAAAAAAAAAAAAAGTTTGATTATTTCCTCTCAGTGCATAGTCACACAGGTACAATAGTCATAGGTCCCTTTGGGGAACTCTGGAGAAAAGATTAACAGCCCACATTTTTGCAGTATGGAAGCTTCCATCCTCAAGAGGACCTGGCCTCTCCTTCACCCAAAGGATTCTGGGTTTGTAAACTGGCCATGTCTTAGAATTGATTTAGGGGGCGCCTGGGTGGCTCAGTTGTTAAGCGTCTGCCTTCAGCTCAGGTCATGATCCCAGGGTCCTGGGATCGAGCCCCACATCGGGCTCCCTGCTCGGCGGGAAGCCTGCTTCTCCCTCCCCCACTCCCCCTGCTTGTGTTCCCTCTCTCGCCGTGTCTTTCTCTGTCAAATAAATAAATAAAATCTTTAAAAAAAAAAAAAGAATTGATTTAGGAGCTGTGATTCTCTGTTTTGATGATTCAAGTTAGGCTTCTGTTTACTTGACCTAAAACTCTGCCACCTATGTAGATCAAATAATAATTTAGTAGCTTGCCATCTTTTTATTCACTAGGGACACAAAGATCAACAAGGAAATGTAGAGTTATTCTTTTTTTTAAGATTTTATTTATTTATTTGACAGAGAGAGAGAGTACAAGTAGGTGGAGTGGCAGGCAGAGGAAGAGGGAGAAGCAGGCTCCCCACCAAGCAGGGAGCCCGACGCGGGGCTCGATCCCAGGGCCCTGGGATCATGACCTGAGCCGAAGGCAGACTCTTAACCGACTGAGCCACCCAGGCGCCCCAAATGTAGAGTTATTCTTAGAAAATATATTGTAAGCCCTAAGGAGTGATTGTGGAAGCAGCTGAAATGTCAGCAGCGTTCCTGTTCTTAGGCATTTGAACACAATGGTAGGAACAGGATCCCATGATCCCCAGGGGCAGGGCATAAGTTAGGAGCTATGAAAGAATGTAACCTTCAGTACCCCCCTTTCTGCTCCTGGCGATTGCTAGCCCGAACATCCTGCTCCTCCTTTATCCCATGACTGACTCCCTGTGTGCCTATGCATAGGGGAGAATGCAAACCTGTTTTACGGCTTCAGGATATTCGCCATCCCTTTGTACTCCTTTCTCACGCTTCCAGGCATCTGTCCTTGCTTTTCTGATTAAATAAATAAATAAATAAATAAATAAATAAATAATAAAAGCTATGTACAGGATTCAGCTGTTGCTGCCCTCCCTTGCAGAAGCAGCCCTGCACGGCCGCTCAGACTGGTGTCTGAGAACTTTATTTCAATGCACGACAACAGGAAAGGTCAAGAAGCCAGTGCATAATGACTTGAACTCTCAAGTCATTAATACCTGAGCTGGAATTTGAAGCCATGTGCTCTTTTTTTCCCCCACTTTCTCCAACATAGTTAGGAACAAACCCCTCTTATACTCCTTAGTTTGACCAATATGTTCTAAAGTCTTCAATAGTTATCTCCTTAGGAATATTGAATATATATTTCATATATGTTTGCTGTCACACCATGGCAAATGCCCTATTTTGCATGGGAAATAGAGTCATTAGTGCCTTTAAATATAGTAAGATTCAAGAACAAATTCTCGAAAACACAATTCAGAAAATTTATTCTTAACATTCTGTTCCTCTAGAACCACTCTTGGAGCAAAAATCCTTTTTTTCATAAAGATTCAACCAAAGAAAAAGAATTAATTGAAGAGATTTATTCCAAGAAACTGACTTACTAGATTGTGGGGCTGGCTTGGCAAAGTCAAAATCCTTAGGACAGGACATCAGGAAGGCCAAAATGGACCTCTTGGCCACAAACTAAAGATGCTACCAACAGATAGAATAATGGTTTCTTACAGGGAAGTTTCAGCTCTGCTCTTAAGGACTTTCAACTTGTTAAATCAGGCCAACCCAAATTATCTAGGATACTACACCCTACTCAAAGTCAGTTGATTCTGGACTTTAATCACATTTACAAAATACCTTCCTAACACTTAGTCTGTGACAGAATAACTGGGGACTGTAGTCTAGGCGAGTTGCCACATAAAATTGACCACCACACAGATCTTCGTCAGCAGGAAACTGGTTAAGGAAAAATGATAGTTGGCACACCAGAATACTGTGTAGGCACTAGAAATGAGGTTGTAGGTTAATTTATTGACGTGAACTTCAAGAATTGTTTCAATTTAGTGAAAAACTCTAATTAGAAAATAGTATGCAGGGCGCCTGGGTGGCTCAGTTGGTTAAGCGACTGCCTTCGGCTCAGGTCATGATCCTGGAGTCCCGGGATCGAGTCCCGCATCGGGCTC